CAAGAAGCTGAAAGTGAATATGAATGATATTATAACGTCCCACACATAACAAATGAAAAATACAACGTTTAGGTGTGTCTACTGTCTATTCACCCGTTACATTTGCACGGTCAGTTGAAAGAATCCATTGACGTCTATGGCCTCCCGTTCTCCGCCTCGTATAAAATAATAAGTAACACAATTTTGTTACCATAAATCGAGTCGGTGAATGCACACGACCATAAACGTTTTATGGTGCACATATGCAATTGAGGAATGGTTACGTGTGTACGTGTGTGTGCACGCTGTGCGCGAGAGTGACCTCGATGACCTAATGTGGATTCCCCTACGACGAAAGGTTATCCTCTACCGCCATCTTACAGCATTCCAAAATTAGTCTTTCACTCACCCTGTGACCGTTAACATATTAAACTGTGGGTATAAATTGTTTTACATAACTTCAGCTCATCATAGCGGAACGGGTTGCACAGATGAAGCCTGGCCCTTGTTTATGAAACGGCCATTGCAGCAATCGGGCGATGGAAGAACTTAATTTAATTTAATTTAATTTTAATTAAAGAACTTTACATAACTACCTTGATCTAAGGAGACACGAACGAACGATCATTAAAATTATGAAGTAAAATTTACAAGCCTACACCCGTTTACTGATGTATTTTTAAAAATAAATATATACATATTTCTCTCCCGAACACCTGGTTACGATACTAATCACTTGACTTTTGTATTTCTTCGCCTTCTAAGCATAATAACATGGCTTTAAATGAAATGCATTTTCCATACACTATCTGATGCTTTTTCTGGCAAGTCTGTGGCAGGATGTGGGATTGTCAAGGATTTTTTTTCTTCAAAATCGAAGCATGCATACATTAGTGGATCCGGGGGGTATTAGACTACGTCGCATTAACTGCTCATGGTCATTAAGCAATAATATTTAAAACAAGAATTACAGAAATTATATAAATAAATTGAGTCTGAATAAGAGAAAAATGTTACCTGACCATTGTCTTGGCTGGCATGACTCTCAACTTAACGGGTCCAAAAGGTGCTGTACAGGCCGTTTCATGACTGTGAGCAAGTCCTATTGTACTAACCACCTCAATGTAAATATGATGCAATCTGTGCCAATATATGACATGGGTATACTTATGTTTTCCATACAAATACCAAATAAATCGGGAGGCCCATTTTGGGGGTAGAGTTGGCCTATACAGCCGATCAAAGTGTTGTCTCGGAGACATCAATTTTCTTTTTTTTTTCCTGAAGAATTGATTTTCTCATGTCATTTCCCAGGTAGACAAACCAACAAACCGACTCCAAACCGACTCCAAACCCACTCCAAACCGACTGATTCTTGGCTAATATCTATCGCCCCCATTTCTCTCTCTCTCTCTCTCTCTATCTTTATCCATCTGACCTCTTTACTATCTATCCATCAATCAACCTATCTATCCACTTATTTATTCCCTTTTCTCTCTCTACCTCACCTTTCTCTCTCTCTCTCTCTACCACTTTTAGATGTAACATGTTGTATTTTGTTTCATTTATCTTTATGTCTCAGTCTGGTGTATGTGTTTTCTGTTGTTGAATTTTCCTGCATAATTAAGTCAGTAGTTTAATTCAGTGAACCTACCCGCAGCAAGCCTATATAGCTTTTAAAAAGTTCACTCGCGATTTTTAATATCAAATGACTTACATAATGTTATTTAATGTTATTAATTAATATGATTCAGTATTATTAATTTACATATTACTTAAAGAAATGTAAATGTTTTGTAAAATGTATTATGCTTCGTTATTATTTGTATGGAATATGAATCAAAGCAACCAACTAATCAATCAATCAATTGGGATAATGCAATTTATCATGCGGTGTGCTGTCGGTCTGAACCTTCATATCTTCAGTGAATGTCAACAATCATTTGTTTACACAATATCTCACAACCTCAACAGCCATTGAAATGTCAGACATGCAGGTTCCAGTTTTATCACAAACAAAATTAGTTTTAGATGGTATTCTGCGAAAACATTAGATGCTATTAAATTGCAAGTGCACCTACTTCGGTTTTTTTTTAGCTTGCTGTGATATCAAAAAGGGCACGAACGTGTTTGGGGATTTGTATAGGACGGGGCTTGGCAGACTGACGACAAATAGTAGATAATTGTTAAATGTATATTTATTTTTATCAAACAATCAAAAGTTTTATTGATTTACAGACCTATACAGATCTGTAGAATGTACATGTGCATTGCATGGGTCACCTTTAAATAAAACTAATGTCACCTTTAACATATGTTTGATACTCCTTTACTTCGTTGGACAGATCAACACGCTACAAAAATGAAGTGCGGGGGTTTTATCACATTTAATTTCCACACACAAAAATGCAGCTAAAATCATGACTTTTCAAAGTACGCAATTGAATATAATCTAAAGAATAGAAACATGTGAATTTCAACAGAGTAAACTGGGCTGTTTTCATATTTACTTAAGTGCCAATATAGATAGTAGTTGTACAGAACACTTCACTTTGCCATTCATGATACATGTACTTGTACTTGTTTCCTTGTATGACCATTCAGATTCCAATTTTCCGAGAACATACAATTCCCGTCTTACTGTGAGGCGGAATAGACAAAACCTACTGATCCCTTAACACAGCGGTATACCGAATTCAAGTAATACATACAAGCCAAATTAAAAAATTAAAAAAATTCTATGAGATAATATGTCAACAATTAACTTGTACTTTTTCCCTCGTATGAGCATTTAGATAAAAACTTTCAGAGAACATATCGCCGTCTGGCTATTATACGGCATTGACAGAAGATACACCAACTACCATCGCGGCATACCAAATTCAAGAACATGTAATATAAGCAAAATAAAGACAACTTAACATTATATAAAACATTATATACCTCACTTAAGAAATCCAGCGATCTGATTGGTCGAAATTGCATTCATAAACTTCAACTATTTCTGTAAAATTCCCAGTAACCATGGTTATTGGGAAAATAGTTCAGTCTCCATGGTTACCCCATAGGTTTACATGTTAAAAAATGGTCTGAGCGATCGAGGATACCGTACGTGCGCGAAGAATTGGTCGCTATATTTTACCAATTTTGTAATGCAACTAGCAGCGAATCCGGGCTAACTCGCCCCACAGACGACCGACTGTACTAGGCCAAAATGGCTGAATTAGAAACGCTCCCAGGATTTTGACTTCTGGATAAGGATCAAATGCGAGACATGCTGACAGCAAGAACACCAAAAAGGGTACGTGAAATCTTCCATAATTTTTTCAGTAGCCCTAGATCTAGATCTAGATTCTAGTACGCGACAACCAGATGCTGGTGATTGTAGTGATTTGTACGTCACGGACATATGCAGATCCTTCCCGTAGAGATTACACACATCCCTACGCTCTCGGGAAGGTATAAAAACAACTATTTCTCTCAAAGCAGTCATTAATACTATAATATCATAGCAACAAAACCAAAAGAAAGAAAAACAATCCTGAATATATGTATTCTTTATTGTAATGATATCGCATTGATATATGCATATTACGAAAACATAATGACATTAAAGCAGTTGAGTAGCCATGATTGTTTCCCCCTCTTTATTTTTAACACCACTTTTTTGATAAAGGACTTGTAATATACATGAATATTTGATTTGATTTTTTAAATTTTATTTCTGCATTTTTTCAAATTTTAATAACAAAATAACGAAAGAACATATGAACAAAATATACATACAATGATAACTTCATGTCAATTATATTTTTTTTTTTTTTTTTTTTTACATATGTACATATTAATAACGAAACTTAATATTTCTATAACATATAATTATACATTTAAAGTATTATCCGAACTATCAGTTGAAAAAGTGCAGGAGACCGCAATCATAAGCGAAGCTTGACTAGGATGGCGGCCTCAAAAAGAAAAAATAATAATCTTAAGGTAAAACTTAAAATGAAAAAGTGTTTTAACGTTCTTTGTGTATGAGTTTGTGAGTGTGCTGTGCGAGTGTGTGTATTGTGTGTGTGTGTGTCTATGCGCGCACGCGTGCGTGTTGGTATGTGTAGCGAATGGAGAATGTGCACGTAACTCTCTGTTGGATGGTGGAGTGGAAACAAAATGTAGCCTTTTCAATAAAGGAAACCAAGAATACGAAATAGAATACGAAATTTGCAAACATGAGTTGCAATTAATGTGACCAATATTTGAGATATGTATGATAATTGCCTACTGCATGTTGAAATCAATTATGTAGGTACTCCGATATGAGAGAATGTTTAAGAGATGCTTTAAAATAATAGAGAGATGAACAATGCCTTATTGAATTTGGTAAGGAGTTCCAAACATCTGGTCCATGATGTCTTACTGACTTTAGGATTTTCTAAGTGATAATTTGTTGAACAACGGGTGGGATATGTGTGAATGTTTGAGTTTAAACTGTAAATGTTGTGAAATATGGATGGTAGTTGATTATGAGAATATTTATACATGAAAATGCTTGTCTGAAAAATGTGAATATCTTGTATTTTTAATGTTTTTAAACGATGAAATAAAGGTTTCGTGTGTGATATATAACTTGAGTTAGTAATTATGCGAATCGCTCTCTTTTAAAGCAAAAAATATTCATCAAACAACAATAATAATGAGATCTATGTGTATTTTTTCACATTCGAAACAATAACAGGATACCTGTACAATAATGATGAACCAATTATTGAAATAAATGATATGCCCCCCCCCCCCCAAACAAACAAAGTAAAAAACAACAAAAATTAAAACAAATGGTATATTGTTATACCTTTTATATATACAGTATGATGTGCGTGTGTAAAGACTTAGTCATTACCATGTGAATCAACAACTACAAAGGAAGGAATTTAGATCAGTTCAATCGAAAGGAAGAATTTACAATCTATCTACGATTTCTGAACTGAATGAAATGTACAATGCCTTTGTAAAGTTATATATTTCTATAAATCACAGGGAACTACCAATGTATATGCATACACTTCATACACCATTTATATTTACTTTTAACTCTGTCAAAATCAAAAAATAATGCAGATATTAAAGGGCACAACAGCGCTTCATCCCTGTAGTATTGTTAGTATAATCATATTTTTTTCTTTCTTTTGTGGTGTATTGCTCTTTAAAACCCGAACTTTCCTAGGACAGTATCCACAAATGATTTCTTGTCGGCAGTGTTCTCTTTGGGTTCATATCTCGCTTGTTTGAAGAAGGTTGTAAGTCGTGTAATATCTTCATCTCTCATTTCTATTTTGCCTGGGACCTCCAGGCTACCGCATACGATCACGGTGTCAACGAGCTCAAATGCCAAAGGTTGTGACCTCCTGAACGATTCCATCCTGACTTCAAGAGTCTTTGGTTTGCAGTCGCTAAAATCATGGACAATCACAGCCAGCTTCTTCTTTCCTGAAATATTGAAGAAGAAAAAAAAGGTAGATATTGATTATGACCCATGTAGTTTCAAAGACAACTTTAAAATCTGGTCATTAATATACAAATAATACACAGCAGTGAGGGCATTAGTAAGAATTACCCACGCGAGGTACCTTTGGAACAGTCTAACACGCCCGGGGCGATAGCCAAGGGTATTTAGACTGGTTCAAAGGTACCGAGCGTGGGTAAACTTACTAATGCCCGAACAAAATAATGTGTATCATTTGTTGTATAAGATGTTGTTTGATGTGTTATGTAGAATTATGTTTTATAACATAATGTGTTAATGACCGGTCATTAACAAAATTACGTGTTAGGCAAAAATAAAATGCCCGGTCATGTGTACGCTCTCAACCAATCATTGGATTAGGATCCGCTTCATCATCTTATAATTTGTTTTATTCTACCCAATTCCGGTTTCCTGATTATCAAATTTGATGTCTCCAGCGACTCGTGAACGAAGATAAGCTGATTAGAGTTAGGAATAATCATATGAAAGCTGAAGGTTACAGTATTAACTTTTATGAGTTAATGCATGAACATTATTTTGGAGAAAGATCCCTAAAACTGGTAGGTTACCTAGTCGTGAGGAAAGTTCGTCTCTACTATGAGTACGGTCCCAATGACACTCATGTCATAATTTAGATTATACATACCATGACTGCGTATCGAATATGATTCAATGTTTGTTTAAAATAACCGATAAGGTAAGGAATTTGGATGAAACATGCTTGAACATTGAAAAGAACGAACACAAAATCTGTCAACACGGATGGAGCTATAACTGATAACAAAATTACAACGTCATCGTTTAAAAGGTACTAACTTACCAATCACATCATGGCAATATTGCAGATGTTTTTCGTAGAGAGCATTCAGTACATTGGTGATTGAAAACCCTCGATTTTGGACTGAATGGCAGAGGACCATCACATCAACGGGGTCGCTTGACGGAAACTTGAATGAATCAATGTCGTTGTACGGTAGGCTCCGGAAACGGACATCGGCGATCAAACGAGGCTGTCTGGTTTGCAACTCGGTAAGCTTGGACACGAACCCTTTGACGTTGTGCTCGTAGGCGGAAGAACAGACTGAGACTGAGATACGACGAGGCGATGGTGTTGTGTGTGACGTTTGTGGTGCAGATGTGACAGTCCTTCTAGAAGCCATGGGCGGCTGGCTAGGTGAACCACTGTTGTGTGCCGCTGCTGCCGCGTTAGATGTGCCTGGTCTTTGTTGTCCTACGGGTGATGCTTCCATCGGTGGATTTAGGTTGCTTTCATCCCTGCTAGCTTGAAGTGTCGGGTGAGAACCACCGGATGTGCCCTTCTTCGGTAGACCTAAAAAACAGACATTGTAAAAAACATTCTTGTTATGGCCAAAATTAAACTGATTGAGTCTTTGCGCAGCACAAAACGTACGACCATTCTGTACAAGGGTTTGAAAATCAGACTATTTACTTAGTGATTGCAATCACTTATGTCGATTTGACAACTAGTCGTCGTTATTTTCCCACAAAAAAGCTTTTTCAAGCCCTTTCGATTTGACAGAAGTTCTAAATCAGTATTATCTTTCAAATGCCAATGGAATTTAACCTTTTCATTTTTTGGGCCTGCAAATGGGACATACTACCTTGAAGTCAGGGAAATGACCTACGTTCAAATACACTTGGATCATTGTGTCGGATGGCAGATTAATTATATTCCTTTTAAGGAATGAACGTCAAATTTACTCTTTCGTGAGATAACAATTGAAAATACTGTCGAATCCCCCGAATTGCTTATGATACGTTCCGACATCGTCTAACATGATTTATATCAAGAAAGCCCCACTGCCTGCCTGCTGGTCAAGATCTCGGGAAAGTTGACAGTTTAAAATTTAGTGAATTACTGTGAGGACTAGCAAACCCGTGAGATGGGACAGTTTAAAAGGTATTACGTACGTGCTCGCTTAGCCTGTTGAGATGTAGGCTGCATTTTATTTGCTACTCGCTTTGTCTTGCCATCCTGAGCTTTAGCATTGCGAAATGTTTCATGATCGTTTCGTTCACCGTCACTTGGATCCACGCTAGATTTTTCGAATGTATCTTGACTCCGTCCTATCGACGGCATCGATTCTCTGATGGAGCTTATAGCTTTATAAAGAGGGGGGGGGGGGGGAGAGAGAGAGATAATTTACATATCATCAATGACACACGCAAGATACAGGACAAGACTACAGGAGCAAATCGGATATGTCAATACAGCTTCATGACATTTTACATGGGGCTTATATCCGAAATCAAACTTTGTTTCTCCCCTGAGCAAGGAAGGGTTTTCCAGGTGTGACAAGCAACAGCTAGCAATAATACATAGGAAAGGTAATCGTCCAACCAGTTATTGATATTTTAGATACTTAATCATCACATTCAACATCTTGTTTGCAAATCTGTCGGCGCGTTAATAGCCTGGACTGCCCAGCCAATAAATACATTAAAAAGAAACTTAAGTTGATACAGAGGTCGTTTCAATACAGTAATTTTTGTGATAATGTGCTTCTTTAATAGGACAGAATACTTTTTGAGTTTGAAAAGCCTTAATCACACCTTCCTTTTTCTTTGAATAATTTTATAATTTTAGAAATTTTGGACACTTCATGGGCTATGTTTGTTAGTGTTTATGTTTATTAATTACATAAGCATGTACTTTTTTAAATCACAGCAGGAAAAAAAACACTGATGTTGTCATGCATTACTTACAGGAAGACATTTTTTTTCCCGCCGTAACAATCCCATCTTTCACCATTTTTGTATAGCCTTGTTTCTCTGTCTTTTGCTCCATCATTTGTTCGGGAAATTTTGACGCATTCTTCAGGAACTCCGGGAGCTTTTCTCGGTCTGCTTTTAGCATCTGAGTTAGGTCCTTCTCTTCCTTCCCGATATGTCCGCATATTATCTGAAGGCTGGTAGTCTCGAAGGCCTTTGGTTGCTTGTACTTGAATGAACTCATGCGAGATGATTGAACTGTTTCTCTCATATCTTCAAAGTCATGGACTATCACCCCCATCTTGTTCTTTCCTGGAAAAATTCAGAAAACAGGATTTTTCGAAAATAGCATGAAATATTCCAGCATTATACAAGATAGGATTCATTTCAAATTATATTTTCATGAATTTTCCAAAGATTTGTTAACATGATCTTGAACATTGCCCCTTTTCAGATTTATTGAATCACACAGAATCACATCAAAAAAGGACAAAGGCCACACTACAAATGTCCGGGGTGTCGTTCGAATGATATATTGGAAATTACACTCCATCCTCCCACCCCCATCCCCCGCGAAATCTCAGCTAAAGTATTTTAGTTTGTGTTCCTTATCGGCACATCCCGAAACTTACTTTGTTCGTTAACAAACAAAAAATCTCTGAAAGCGAGAGTCGAATATATTCAGAGCCACTTCCATTTTTTTTTTACATTTGCCCTTGTCGCCATTTTGGAAACATATTTGGAAATATGACGACATTCTTTTTTTGGGGGGAGGGGTGGGGACCTTCAGCTAACTTGTCTGCCAATGTGATCAGACAAAGCCTACAATCAGAATGATCTCGCGATACCCCTTGATTCATAATCTTACAGATCATGGAAACATTACTTTCTCGCAGTGCATCCCGTGCAAGCCGTTTTACTGAGAAGGAGCAGTACTTACCTACGACTCTCGCACAGTATGGAAGATACTCATCGTACAGGGCATCCATGACGTCTGTAATGGCAAACCTTCTGTTGTTGATAGAGTGGCACAGAAGCATCACATCAACCGGGTGATCTTTTGGAAATGTATAATGATCAAGATCGTTGTACGGGAGCGCATGGACCTTGACTTCTTCGATCAGTTTCGGATGATCCTTCGTAATATCTTTCAGGAAGGATACAAGGCCTTGTACGTTGTAGTCATACGCCGATGTACACACTGAGATGGATACAGGACGGTCTTTGCTGACATGCTCAAGGGATTCCTCTGCATCCACAGCAGGGAGTGCAGTACCCCCTGCTTCAACTCCCTCTTCCTTAGCTTTCTGCTTCGGGGTCCCATCTTCTTTGGTACCATTTCCGGCAGCTGCAGCGCCCTCCTTGCTAAGTTTCAGTTCATTAGCTTTATTTTCTGTAGCTCTCTTTTCTTCTTCTGACAATTCTTTAGTCTTCCTTTCCCTAGCTCCCTCTTCGTCTTTCGGATCTTTGGACCCTGAATTTGGAGTTGTTGGGTTCGGTGGGGGATTGCAGGGTACTGTGTGCAGAATATAGTTTATACAAGCATTTAAAGTAATGGTTTTTAATGTCACATATTCGTATGAAGGTAAAAATTATTTGAAATAATGGAAACAATATTGTCTCAAAAGCCATTGTTTACGATTGGATATTTTCCAGCAGGTTTTTGAATACATCTAACACAATATCGACAAATACCAATTTAGATCTGAAGAAAGGGGGTTTAAGGGGAATTAGGTATGGTGTATATTAAAAAAAATTGAATGCAATGAAAATTTGTGTTGACCAGAGAAATGGCGGCGACCCTAAAAGATTCAGAAAGGCTCGAGATATGAAGAAGATTTAAAAGATGAAGCCACGATCCACCACGTTTTGTCGATTTTTTTTGGCCTAGGGGGGGGGGGGGGTCACAGCAGTCTCGTCTTTATGTGAGATTGGGGTATCATCGACCAACCCAAGTTTACTATAATCTAATGATTGCATTAGGAAGAAATGATAAGTGATTACTCAGATATGTAATGTATTTTAGCAAATCCTTGTTCCAGCTCGAAAATTCGATATATCCTAATGGAGATGTAAGGATATGTCTTTATATTGTATCAAGTACTTAATGCTTCTAGAGCTCATATCAGAAAAAAGTGAAGTGAAATGACACATACAATGAACATCTATGCCTTGACAACGTACGGTACGTCAAATACCTTGGACTTGTCCACTAATAATTATCAAACTAATCTCTATTCTTTTATTGCATTGCACCTTTTGGGGGTTTCGTTTCTTTGGGTTTTGAAGAGGAACCAGTTGTCTGTGGATCTCCCTTTTCCTCTTTATCTGTCTGTCCAGAATAATTACCAGGAGCCCCTTTGGTGTCAGTGCCAGGTCCTGCTACTGACTCCGCTGAAAGAAAGAAAATAATGTAAAGTCGATTTCAGGGGATTACAGCAGAATCGTCTTGTAGTGAGATAGGGATATTATCAAACACCTCTAAGATTACCATAATCCGATTATTGTATTATAGAAAATTGATAAGTCATTACCCAGGTAAGTAAAGTAATTACACAATCCTTGTTCACAGCTCGATGTTTTGGTGAATTCTTATGGAAATGTAAGGATACGTCTTCATGTTGTATCATGTATTTAACCCTACAAGAGATTTTAGGGGATCACAGCAGAATCGTCATGTAATTAGATGGGGATACTACCGATAGCCTCTAAGATTGCCATAATTCGATGACTGTATCATAAAGATATGATAAGTCATTACACAGGTAAGTAAAGTATTTCAGCAAATCCTTCACAGCTCGCATTTTTTAGATATGTTCATGGATAAAATAGGATACGTCTTGATATTGTATCAAATATATAACCCTACTAGAGCCCGATTAAAAAAAGTGAAGTGAAAAGACACATACAATTTAAATTTAGGACTTGGTAATGTACAGAACATCAAATATCTTTGGCCACTAGTTATTATCAAACTAAACCCTATTATTTCCTTGCATCGCACCCTTTTTTGAGTTAGTTCCTTTTGGTTTGGAAGAGGAATCAGTTTTCTGCAGATCTCCCTTTTCCTCTCTATCTGTCTGTCCAGAATAATTACCAGGAGCCCCTTTGGTGTCAGTGCCAGGTCCTGCTACTGACTCTACTGAAAGAAAGAAAATAATGTAAAGTCGCTTTTTAGGGGGATCTCAGCAGAGTATAGTTTTCTAGTGAGATGGGGAAACTACCGACCACCTCTAAGATTATCATAATCTGATAATTGTATCGTAAAGAAATGATAAGACTCAGGTATGTAATGTATTACAGCAAATCCTTGTTCACAGCTCGCATTTGTTAAACATATTTATGGAGATGATTGGAAAAGTTTTCATATTAATAATAATATTTTTGCTTATATAGCGCTAAATACGAAGGGCATATCCGAGTTTCTAAGCGCTTTACATTATTACCCGGTCATCGGATTCTGGCTTCCCGCACACAATGTATGCACTTTCTCTATTTCCTTGGGAGCATTCTAACAAAAGCGACTAGGCTCGAACTGCTAAGCATACCACATTGGCTTTCGCATCATACCGGGTACCCATTTACCACCTGGGTGAAGAGTGGCAAAATGTAAAATAATAATAATAATAATAATAATATGTCTTGTTTACCCAGTATTCATACTGTTCTCCCCGAGGGCCCTGCAATCATATTATTACCCCGACTTTAACCGAGCTACCATTAAACGGTGCTCAAGCATTCAAGGAATTTCTTCCTACCGGGTACCCATTAACCTCGCCTGGGTAGAGTATAGCAAATGTAGATCAATGTCTTGCCAAAGGACATATGTTTTACGGCGGCACTCGAACCGCGGACCTTGTGATCGACAGTCCGGTGACGTATGAATTCGACCACAACACCTCGACCTATTGCATCAAGTATATAACCCTACTAGAGCTTGTTTCAGAAAAAGTGAAGTGACACATACAATGCAAATTGAAGACTTGGTAACGTACGGAACATCAAATATCTTTGGCCTGGCCACCAATAATTATCAAACTCAACCGTATTCTTTCCTTTCATCGCACCTTTTTTTGAGCTAGTTCCTTTTGGTTTTGAAGAGGAATCAGTTTTCTGCAGATCTCCCTTTTCCTCTTTATCTGTCTGTCCAGAATAATTACCAGGAGCCCCTTTGGTGTCAGTGCCAGGTCCTGCTACTGACTCCACTGAAAGAAAGAAAATAATGTAAAGTCGATTTCAGGGGATTACAGCAGAATCGTCTTGTAGTGAGATAGGGATATTATCAAACACCTCTAAGATTACCATAATCCGATTATTGTATTATAGAAAATTGATAAGTCATTACCCAGGTAAGTAAAGTAATTACACAATCCTTGTTCACAGCTCGATGTTTTGGTGAATTCTTATGGAAATGTAAGGATACGTCTTCATGTTGTATCATGTATTTAACCCTACAAGAGATTTTAGGGGATCACAGCAGAATCGTCTTGTAATTAGATGGGGATACTACCGATAGCCTCTAAGATTGCCATAATTCGATGACTGTATCATAAAGAAATGATAAGTCACAGGTAAGTAAAGTATTTCAGCAAATCCTTCACAGCTCGCATTTTTTAGATATGTTCATGGATAAAATAGGATACGTCTTGATATTGTATCAAATATATAACCCTACTAGAGCCCGATTAAAAAAAGTAAAGTGAAAAGACACATACAATTTAAATTTAGGACTTGGTAATGTACAGAACATCAAATATCTTTGGCCACTAGTTATTATCAAACTAAACCCTATTATTTCCTTGCATCGCACCTTTTTTTGAGTTAGTTCCTTTTGGTTTGGAAGAGGAATCAGTTTTCTGCAGATCTCCCTTTTCCTCTCTATCTGTCTGTCCAGAATAATTACCAGGAGCCCCTTTGGTGTCAGTGCCAGGTCCTGCTACTGACTCCACTGAAAGAAAGAAAATAATGTAAAGTCGCTTTTTAGGGGGATCTCAGCAGAGTATAGTTTTCTAGTGAGATGGGGAAACTACCGACCACCTCTAAGATTATCATAATCTGATAATTGTATCGTAAAGAAATGATAAGACTCAGGTATGTAATGTATTACAGCAAATCCTTGTTCACAGCTCGCATTTGTTAAACATATTTATGGAGATGATTGGAAAAGTTTTCATATTAATAATAATATTTTTGCTTATATAGCGCTAAATACGAAGGGCATATCCGAGTTTCTAAGCGCTTTACATTATTACCCGGTCATCGGATTCTGGCTTGCCCGCACACAATGTATGCACTTTCCTTTATTTCCTTGGGAGCATTCCAACAAAAGCGACTAGGCTCGAACTGCTAAGCATACCACATTGGCTTTCGCATCATACAGGGTACCCATTTAACACCTGGGTGGAGAGTGGCAAAATGTAAAATAATAATAATAATAATAATAATATGTCTTGTTTACCCAGTATTCATACTGTTCTCCCCGAGGGCCCTGCAATCATATTATTACCCCGACTTTAACCGAGCTACCATTAAACGGTGCTCAAGCATTCAAGGTATTTCTTCCTACCGGGTACCCATTAACCTCGCCTGGGTAGAGTATAGCAAAATGTAGATCAATGTCTTGCCAAAGGACATATGTGTTACGGCGGCACTCGAACCGCGGACCTTGTGATCGACAGTCCGGTGACGTATGAATTCGACCACAACACCTCGACCTATTGCATCAAGTATATAACCCTACTAGAGCTTGTTTCAGAAAAAGTGAAGTGACACATACAATGTAAATTGAAGACTTGGTAACGTACGGAACATCAAATATCTTTGGCCTGGCCACCAATAATTATCAAACTCAACCGTATTCTTTCCTTTCATCGCACCTTTTTTTGAGCTAGTTCCTTTTGGTTTGGAAGAGGAATCAGTTTTCTGCAGATCTCCCTTTTCCTCTTTATCTGTCTGTCCAGAATAATTACCAGGAGCCCCTTTGGTGTCAGTGCCAGGTCCCGCTACTGGCACCACTGAACGAAAGAAAATAATGTAAAGTCGATTTCAGGAGAATTACTCAGAATCGTCTTGTAGTGAGATAGGAATATTATTTAACACCTCTCTAAAATTACCATAATCTGATAATGTATCGTAAAGAAATTATAAGACTCAGGTATGTAATGTATTACAGCAAATCCTTGTTCACAGCTCGCATTTGTTAAACATATTTATGGAGATGATTGGATACGTTTTCATATTAATAATGATATTTGTGCTTATATAGCGCTAAATACGAAGGGCATATCCGAGTTTCTAAGCGCTTTACATTATTACCCGATCATCGGATTATGGCTTTCCCGCACACAATGTATGCACTTTCTCTATTTCCTTGGGAGCATTCTAACAAAAGCGACCAGGCTCGAACTGCTAAGCATACCACATTGGCTTTCGCATCATACCGGGTACCCATTTACCACCTGGGTGAAGAGTGGCAAAATGTAAAATAATAATAATAATAATAATAATATGTCTTGTTTACCCAGTATTCATACTGTTCTCCCCGAGGGCCCTGCAATCATATTATTACCCCGACTTTAACCGAGCTACCATTAAACGGTGCTCAAGCATTCAAGGAATTTCTTCCTACCGGGTACCCATTAACCTCGCCTGGGTAGAGTATAGCAAATGTAGATCAATGTCTTGCCAAAGGACATATGTGTTACGGCGGCACTCGAACCGCGGACCTTGTGATCGACAGTCCGGTGACGTATGAATTCGACCACAACACCTCGACCTATTGCATCAAGTATATAACCCTACTAGAGCTTGTTTCAGAAAAAGTGAAGTGACACATACAATGTAAATTGAAGACTTGGTAACGTACGGAACATCAAATATCTTTGGCCTGGCCACCAATAATTATCAAACTCAACCCTATTCTTTCCTTTCATCGCACCTTTTTTTGAGCTAGTTCCTTTTGGTTTTGAAGAGGAATCAGTTTTCTGCAGATCTCCCTTTTCCTCTTTATCTGTCTGTCCAGAATAATTACCAGGAGCCCCTTTGGTGTCAGTGCCAGGTCCCGCTTCTGGCACCACTGAACGAAAGAAAATAAGGTAAAGTCGATTTCAGGGGATTACAGCAGAATCGTCTTGTAGTGAGATAGGGATATTATTTAACACCTCTCTAAGATTACCATAATCTGATAATTGTATCGTAAATAAATTATAAGACTCAGGTATGTAATGTATTACAGCAAATCCTTGTTCACAGCTCGCATTTGTTAAACATATTTATGGAGATGATTAGATACGTTTTCATAATAATAATAATATTTTTGCTTATATAGCGCTAAATACGAAGGGCATATCCAAGTTTCTAAGCGCTTTACATTATTACCCGGTCATCGGATTCTGGCTTGCCCGCACACAATGTATGCACTTTCTCTATTTCCTTGGGAGCATTCTAACAAAAGCGACTAGGCTCGAACTGCTAAGCATACCACATTGGCTTTCGCATCCTACCGGGTACCCATTTACCACCTGGGTGAAGAGTGGCAAAATGTAAAATAATAATAATATGTCTTGTTTACCCAGTATTCATACTGTTCTCCCTGAGGGCCCTGCAATCATATTATTACCCCGACTTTAACCGAGCTACCATTAAACGGTGCTCAAGCATTCAAGGTATTTTTTCCTACCGGGTACCCATACCTGATTTAAGTATTTTAAAGGCAAAACAAGAATAACCTGTTCTGATAGCCTGATATGATACATATAGTAATTATATGTGACAATGGATAAAGTAAGGACAAAACAACGCGAATGCCGAGAGTTTGTTCATATAGATCATACCGCAAAAAAATTATTATTACGCAAAAGGAAAGTTCTTTTTCGTTCGATTCGAGTCCAGGAGTCGTGCATTATTTTGTTTTGATGTCAATTTTGTATCGAAATTTAACATGCAAGAAGGTGGAAGTCAAATTGTCTGTGGAATGATGAATCATTGTTTAGACAAATTACCTGAAGGAGAAGATTTTGGGTTTTCTGTCAATGGGTCGGATCTGATGGTGGTGGGTTGAACTGACTTGGATGGCGATGTAACACTATCACCATCGCTAGTTTGGACCGCTTCCCGTTGCTCCTCAGCTCCTAATGGGTAAAGTAAAGTTCAGAGTTCTTATCATCAGACGCAATAGAACTGTTTACCATAATGTTGTCTCCGGGACCCCCATAGTTAAACCGAAGTGACATGGTCCAGTTTTCTTCGAAGTGTAAGTGCTAGGAGCAGAGACATCTTTTCGGTCGAAATGGATATCCGGTAAAATTCGAATTTAAAAAAAAAAAGGTTATTGACTTCGGAGTTTGAGCTACTTAAAAATAACTTAATATGCAACTTATCAATAATCATCGATTACTCTGTGTTGCCTATAGAAATCATGTTCTAATGATATATGTGATTGTCATCCTTGTACATTAAGTTCAATAGGTGACGCACAAGGATGTTGAAATTGCCTTGGGTAGATTTGTTTAATGACCTATTCGATCACTTTGATGATTATCTAATCAGTAGAAAGAAGATAACTAATGAAACTTCATACCTTCTTGTGAACGCAAGTCGCCTGCCAGGTGTTTCAGGTTTGCTTTCTTTAGCGCCTCCAGCAAACCAGATATCTGCTTTGCATCAGGGGTCCTGTATTTCCAGGCCCGTAACATGCGCAAGATTCGAATACTATCTTTAGGTTTACCATATCCACAATACCGATAGACTTCTGTGGGGATGAATCCGAGAGTCTGACCTAGCGAACGAGCACTATATTTATCAACCATAAGAGACTTGGTCAGCTTTTCAAGGTTGCTGTCGGGTATTCCACCTTAAATGTTAAGAAAAAATGACGACTTGTAAAATAGTATACATTAATGTTTACTGCTTACAAATACACGAGGAATAAGCAGGCGCGCCGGAAGCAGTTTGGGATTGGGGTGGCAAACATTCCAGGGGGCTCACCTTCCAGGGGCAGTGATGTAATGAGCCAAAAAGTTTGGAAGGGGGGGGGGGGGGGCAGAAGAAAAATCTGCATTACCACCACTCTTACACGTTACATGCAGGCCCTGCGGAACGTTTTTCAAAGTGGAGTATGGTTCATTGAAATGTGGAAAATGGGCAAATTACACCTCTACAGATTGCTGAGAGCATTAACAAAATGAGCAAAGTACTTTTGAAGCCCTCACTGTTGTGAGGAATAAATTAAATGCAATTTTGTTACCCTTTCCTGAACTTACTCACTAAGTGAATTGACGGCGTTATTTTACATGCGCAACGATGACGTCACAATATGAACACCCTACATCACACATTCGGGACAATGTTGGATACCCATTGCAATTTTCAGATATGGGTTAACGTTGTTTATATATTTACCGCCAGTGGTGATATTTCCTCTTTTCTGGTATTTTAAATGAGATACACTGAATAAATGATACTTTCTACAAATGTTTGTTTGGTTTTATATTTTTTTCCGTCACATTTGAGCATAAAAATCGGAAAAATAATCACATATTCTGAGGGCACTTCAGCGTGTATGTGTCTGATCTGGGAAGGCAAAGTACATTTTGCATGCTGACCCAGGCGCGTACACAGAGGGGGGGGGGGGGGGGGGGGGGGTTTAGGGTGTGGTAAATTTTTGTGTGTAAACCCCCCCCCCTAAATTTCCCTAATTTTCCTTAGTATGCCGCGTGCGCATAAAATATACAGTTCCTCAGGTAGACAAAGGAACATCCCTTCCCTGCTATTATGTACAAATGTGTAGAACAGGTAACACATGCATATTCACCTGTTGTTCTACACATTTTTACATAATAGCAGTGAAGGGATGTTCTTTTGTCTACCACAGCAATTGTTGAGAGTAGAATGAGGAACTGTATATTTTGTCCTCTTTCTTTGTCCATCATATTCATAGTGTTACTCCCTGCATGCTTGTATATCGTCGAGTGCAATCTAAAAAATTCTAACTGTAGTCAACATGGGCAGTTGAGTACGTTGCCACGCATGATCAGTCGGCGTTCGTCGTGTTCTCGTCCACTCAATCTAAAAGTCCCTAATAGCACGCAAACTGCAACTCGCACCGTCCTCAATCATTTCAGCTGAGCGGCCCGCTGTTCATATTGTGACGTCACTTCAAAAATCAGCTGACTTACGATGTTTTGGGGGCGTTGACACTATGAACATGACGGACAAAGAAAGCGGACAAAATATACAGTTCCTCAGGTAGACAAAGGAACATCCCTTCACTGCTATTATATAAAAATGTGTAGAACAGGCGACACATGCATATTCACCAATTTACATAATAGCAGTGAAGAGATGTTCCTTTGTCTACCTGAGGAACTGTATATTTTGTCCGCTTTCTTTGTCTGTCATGTTCATAGTGTGAGTGGGTTGATTTTTCGTCAAGTACAATCAACTTTTATAAATTTCGCTCGAATGTACAAGTCACACAAATGTAATGATTTTACTCAATGTAATTTTTCGATTGCAATGATACCAAATTCAGTCAAGTTTGAAATCAATAAACCATCTCTTTATAACGATCAGGTAGAGCGTAAATTGGCTTGGGGTCCAGGGCCTGAGCCTCGGCAGGGGGTCAAGGGGCTGAGCCCCCGGAAGCTCACGGTTTTTAGGCATTAAATTACGGTCAGATAAGCATATTTAGATACCTTATTTGTGACGCTGGCAGGTCACTAATTGGCGGAGAGTCCAAGGAGCAGAGCCCCCGGAAGCTCAGGTGTTTTAGGTATTTAATTACGGTTAGATGAGCATCCAGGGTCCCTCTTTAAGGCAATTGATGTGGTCCAGGGGGCAGAGCCCCGGGAAACTCAGGGGTTTTAGGTATTTAATTACCGTCAGGTTAGCATCCAGGGGCCCGTCTTAGGGCCCTTGGTGGGGTCCGGGGGCAGAGCCCCCGGAAGCTCAGGGATTTTAGGTATTTAATTACGGTCAAATGAGCATCCAGGGGCCCGCCTTGGGGCCCTTGGTGGGGTCCAGGGGGCAGAGGGCCCGGAAGCTCAGGGATTTAAAGTATTTAATTACGGTCAGATGAGTATCCAGGGGCCCGCCTTTGGCCCTTGGTGGGGTCCAGGGGGCAGAGCCCCCGGAAGCTCGGGTTTTTTTTAGGTATTATGGTCAGATGAGCATCCAGGGGACCGCCTTAGGGCCCCTGGTGGAGTCCGGGGTCGGAGCCCCCGTAAGCTCTGGGGGTTTCAAGTTTTAATTACGGTCAGATGAGCATATTTTGATACTTCATTTGTGACATTGGCAGGTCACTTAATTTTTCTCTCTCTCTTTCTTTCTTTTTCTGTGTAACATACTTTTTCAAAAAGTGAGAGGGCTCAAGCCCCCGAGCCCAGCGGTTTTGCAGACCATGCATATTTTTGGCCCGACTGTAAATTTGGGAATTTCTAATTTTCGAACAAACGCATAAAAAGGTATGACTTACACAAAAATTGAGAAAAAATACTGGAAATTCATGTCATTTCAGCAACATTTGTAAATCACTGGAATCGAATAAGAAATGACCCCCCCCCCCCATCAGTACGCCAGCGTTCAGGGGCTCATGTCTTCTCACCCCTATAACAAAAAAGAGACACGCTTTCCCATTCTCTCACTATATGTCTACGATATGCGCGTATCGCTATTATAAAAAACCTCCATAGGTGGCATGCGCAATTTATAGGAAATTTAATTCCTGTTAACTTTCCTTTTCTTTGAATGGAATTTTATATGTGATTTAATTCTGGTTTTATTATTGTTATGTACTTTTGGGTTAAAAATAAACCATCTTTACTCCTTTACTGCTTTTTTTTTTTTTTTTTTTTGGAGGGGGGGGGGGCGTTTTTTTTTTTTTTTTTTGGGGGGGGGGGCAAAAATGCGTTTTGCCTCCCCCCCCCCCACTTTTTTTTTTTTGGGGGGGGGGGGTGGACAAAAGGAAATTCCCCATCACCACACTCTTACATGCAGGCCCCGCTGAACGTTTCTCGGCGTAGGTCAAGGGGTGGATTCCCTAGAAGCTCAGGGGGTATAGGCATTTACTTACTGTCAGATGAGCATAATTTTGATACCTTATTTGTGACACTGGCAGGACACAAATTGGTGTGGGGTCCAGGTGGCGGAGCCCCCAGAATCTCAGGGGTTTTATACATTAAATTACCGTCAGATGAGCAAATTTTGGTACCTTAATTGTGACACTGGCAGGACACAAATTGGTGTTGTGTCCAGGGGGCAGAGCCCCCTGAAGCTCAGGGGTTTGGGGCAATAAATTACGTTCTAATGAGCAATTTTTATACCTTATTTGTGACACTGGCAGGACACAAATTGGTGTGGGGTCCAGGGGGCGGAGCCCCCAGAAGCCCAGGGGTTTTATACATCAAATTATCTTCAGATGAGCATAATTTTATACTTTATTTGTGACACTGGCAGATCAGAAGGCTCAGGGATGGTCGCTGCGCAATCGCAGCCTGATCAGCTGCAGCAGCGGAGCAGAAACGCAATGCGAACGCCTGCAGAGGTGCTAAATCCCCCATCACACCAAATTAGTTCTCAGTACGTTCCTAGTTCGTCCATAAACAATCCTCAATACGTCCATCTCGTCTGTAATCCGTCCACAGTCAAGTCATATCGAGTTCACATCGGGTAAGCTTTCCATTTCCAGGCAGTCCAAGCCAGTCCGTAGTCAGTTTAAACCCATTATTAACTAGTTCTACCTCGTTCCCAATACGTCCAAACCCATTCTTACTAGTTCACCACTTGCTCTAACCAGTTTTTAACCCGACCACCCCGTTCAGAGACAGGTTAACTCGTCCTCCTCTCATTCTTAGTGCGTTCGAACGCGCTCCTAGAGCGTATGGAATCCCGTCCTGACTTGGGAGCTATAAAAACCTAGCGCGTTCTCACCATTCCTCATTCCCGTTCAACTTTAACGCTTCAAGCTTTGCAGATCAAGACATTCAAGTCAAGCTCCCATCACACCAAACTATTTATCACTACGTTCTGGAAAATGTCGCCAAACGGGCTCAAACTGTGTGCAAACGGAGTGAAAGTATTTAATAGCAACTATTTACGATCTTTTTAAGAACTTCATGGACGGGTTCGGACTGGCTTGGACGGGAAGGGTTCTCTAGAACTTTGGGCCTGTTCCAAATTTTCCCCGTCCTGCAATTAGACGGAGTGACAACGTACTTAAGCGAGATGAACGTACTACGAACGGAATTGCCGTACTACGATCCTACTAGGAACGTATTCCAACGTAGTGTGGTCGAGCATCAATTAGGAAGAACGCGCTGGGTTTGTATAGCCCTCGAATCAGGACGGGATTGCACAGCTTGATAGGAGCGCGTTCGGACGCACCGAACCACTAAGGACGAGTTGAACTGTCTCTGAACGGGGTCGTTGGGTTATAAACTAGTTAGAACAAGTTCCGAACTAGTAAAAATGGTTTGGACTTTGGACTGCTTGGAAATGTCAAATTCACCCGATCTAAACTTGATATGAACTGACTGTGGACGGGTACAGGCAAGCTGGACGTATTGTTGACTGTGAATGAACGAACTAGAATCGTATTAGAGACATTAGTCCAGTTCGAGCCCGTCCATACAGTCCTTAAACAGATCGGAACTGTTGCTATAATGTTCAACTCCGTTCGCACACAGTTCGAGCCCGTTTGGCAACATTTTCGAGAACGTAGTGAGAACTAGTTTGGTGTGATGGGGGCTTAAAGCCCTCATTACACAAACTAGTTCTCACCACGTTCTGGAAAATTTATCAAGAAAAAGGAATAAATGTTAAAACGGCTTGCCATAAATACGCAGCAATACGCAACCCAAATACGCAAAGGTGTGATTACCACAATGTGATCACACCTTTGCGTATTTGGGTATCAAGACAATTTTAGCAATCCTTGTTCACAGTTCGAATTTTTGACATGGAACGGGTTCAGATGAAGTCTACACTTTAATTCGGCATTGGACAGAATATGCTAAAGTTAGCGTTGTTTAATGATTATTTGAACATTGTTTCCTTTAGTTATTTCCAACTAACCTGAACCGGGCGAGGCTTCTTGAGTCCCATTAGATGTTGAGCCATCCTTCTTGTCTCGTGTGATATTTTGAGCTGTTGGGGCGTCTATAGTCTTATCATTTGGTTCTTTAATTCCTGAAGACATGAAATGAATCAAGTATTGCTTAACAGGTTTCTAGTGACTTGACTTTGTTCTGCATTGTGCCAAAGGCAGAAATTGCAGGTTGGTCATAAGTTTTGCAGGTTGGTCATGTTTAAAGTTATTTTTGAAGAACACGAACGCAATATTTTGTTTTGTAATAACAGGTGTATTACATACCTTACTCCACACGTTAAGGAACAGAGTATACTCTTCGGATACTAACTAAAAATACCAAATAATACTAAACATCTGCCTAAATTTTAAAGATCGCACCTTTATTTCCCGCGAGTTCTGACGGGGAATCAGCAGCTGTTCGTGGAGGGCCGCCATCCCGATCTTGCACCGTTCTAGATGTTTCCACTTGATCGGTTCCTGAATCCGCTACAGATTACAAAAATAAATAATGTGCAGAGAACAATGAAGGTCACATTAGCAGAACTTAATATGTTCAGTCCATTATTTTATGTTATATGGAAATGTTTTAAAGTGGATCAAATTCAAGAACTATTCTGAAATATGAAAGTTCATATCTTTTCAGATATACCTATTTTGCAAGTAGGAACATATTAGCGAAAGTATTGAACATATAAATTAGGTAGCATGACGGTCCTAAAAAAAAAGTTGAATGGATGACATATATTTTGAACAGGATAATAATATATATATCTGTAAAGCGCTTTGAGAGGGCCTTCGGTCCTGTCAAGCGCTATATAAGAATTAGCTATTATTATTATTATTATTATTATTATTATTATTATAGTAATGAGTACTGAAGTGCGAACGTTATATTCGCTCGCCGTCCAGGTTACTGGTACCAAAAACAGAGCTGTGACTGAGGTTCACCGCAAAATCATTCAAGCAACGGGCTGGAGCAGGACAAAGTCAGTGTGTGGCGCTGGTGTGATCACCACGTCATTGTAGGCCTATAGCACAAGATTTTTTGGAACCAGCAAACTTGACCAAACTTGGCCAGTATGACGTCACTCTTCGGTACTCTTAAAGAAACCTAAACCTAAAGAATAAGTGTAGGTATTCTGAAAAACGAGATGTATGCCTGCCCTTTGATGTACAATATATCTTACGAAAATGTACAAGATAAATAAAGATATTCTTGGCATGATGTGATGCCTTTCAGCATGATATTGGCGCAACCATTTTCTTGAAAATGTGACGTACCTGTTGAAGTTGTACATGTATCATGCACCAAGCTTTAGTTGGAAAGAATTTTTAAATCAATAACGAAACCTTTACTTTTCATCAACAAAAAAATAACTGAGATGATAGAAATTATATTAGGTGAAAAATAAATAATAGGGGCACAATTGTAACAAAATTCATTTATACATACTACACTTTAGCAGTTGGCAAATCTATTTCATTTGTGAGAAACCTTCACCCCAGAAGAGCACTAACTTATTCATGTAATTTGCGTTCTTGCAATTATAGTACAAAGGATAATAGCAGGTGAATGAAATGTTTCATCACCACACACGTCTGGGAAAGAAGCATCCATAAATTTGAATTCATTTGCTTGATAAACGACTTCGCATAGTACGTCACATTATCAAGAAAATGGCGATGCCCATGTCGTGCTGAGAAACTGTACTTTATTTTTGCTTTATACCTCTCTCATACACTTTGGTGGGGAATCTTGAAGATTTATGGGCAATAATAAAATAAATCTCTCAGAATTAGTAAAGTTATTACTTGGGATTCGGTTTCCTTTAAGCGTTTACATGCATTTTACGCCATCCTGTTTCTACAATCAATGAAAAGTAAAACAGGAGAAGGGATACAGACGAGTTCACATCCACTTTGCAATGTATTAAGGGGATGCAACTTTGAATCGTTGGTCGCCCTCGGTCGCCCATACGCCAAGGAAGTTTAACACTGTTCACTATTAAGTGTGAGAACGATGGTCACTTCAAACCTACCTTGACTGGAATCACGATCCGACTGCTCTTCTGAATTTGAGGCTTTTGTCTGGTCTGCCTTCCCTTGTGCAATGTTTTTATCTTCAGTGGCATTTTGAGCTTCATCATATGGCTCCTTGACCTCTGTTCAAAAAAGGTAACCAAGCAGAGGTGAACAGACTTCTTGAGACTTTACATTTTTCTCCGGACTATGTCATAGGTAACAATCATGTTTAAGTATTTCATACTATTTTTATTGATTCTTCCAAATAGAATAAATCACCACAATATTTTTAAATGTAACTGTTTAGGGATTGATACTTAGAGCAATACCAGTTCAAAACAATCAAATATATTTCAATATATAAATAATTTACTTGTCTAACTTTCTCTCTTGTTTCTTGTTTTACTCGAATTTGCTCTTATCATTATTGTAAGTTCTTATTTTGCTGTAAGTTTTCCTTACTCCTGTACTATCTTTTTTCCGTAAACCAGCATTGTTATGCTAACAACGCTTAGTAGGGCCATCCCTCAGTCTTCTTTTTTTTTTATAAGTGTGTCTTTATGATTGTAAATATAAATATGTTGATATTTTTTTTAAATGACGGAAAATAAATACAATACAATACAATACAAATACAATACAATATATTCGTGATTATAATGCGATAAGAGATCGTCATGCATGTCTATGCATAATAAGAGATATTTTGCTACGCGTACACACACTGCGGAATGCAGACATTTCACGTTTGATACATACTGTTTAAAATAATGTATAATATGTCGAATATATTCCCAACATGATAATTGTATATTTCCCCTTTTATTTACAGTAAAAGCGCACCTTCACCTGCTTTCGTTTCCACATCACTTGCATTTTCTGGGAGCTGGGATTCCACCGTCGGTTGAGCACTGTCACTTTCTGATTGCACCTTTTTGGACGGCTCCTCCGAAGTGTTTTCTTTTCCAGGTTTAGCTAGAAAAGGGTGAGAAGTTGAGGTTGAGAGAAGGCTGAATTCTGGTCCAGGTGAAAAACTAACTTCTGAGCTTTCATATTTTTCATTTTTGGTGTAAATCTGGTAGAATATCATTGTAGAAAAAAAATATCCTGAAAATGATTGCTCTTCAAATACCCTCCAATTCGAAATATGATGAGAAATACCTGACGTGTTCGGACCAAGCTTTTCATGCCACAATCATGATTGTGTAAGTAGTCCCACATGTATGCCTATGTTGTCTAAATTGCAAAGGCTCTTTAACTAGACAGACACGATTTCGTATCATTTGGACGATTCCAAAGTCCTACACTAAACACCTATTATTATTTACTACATAATTGATCTTTCCCAATTATATTGCATGCCTAGAACTTAACTTTATCTTAATAAAGTCATGTACATTAACAGAAATATGTCCCCTTCAATAAAGGTGTATAAAAAAAAAAAGATTTGACAAAGCTGGTAATTTGAACTCAAATGGATTTTCAGAAGAATCGGTCTCCGTATTAAAGATCTTATTTTCTTCACTTTATCACGAAAGAAATATACCATGAAAAAAATATAATGGCAGAAATATTCAGAGTATACGCAGATTATTCCAGATGATGGGAAGAAATACAACTAAATTGCTTATTTTATCGGTAAATTCTTATTAACAAAGAATTGGAAGAAAAGTCTTATTTTATTTTACTAGTTTGATTATGTTATCTATCATTACACATCAATACTACACTAACGCTTGTCTTGATTATACATTATTTTAGTCCTATACGAAAGATAATATCTAAACATCAGACAATCTAAACAGCAATGGGGCCGGGTCGGGGTGCAATTTTTCATTTTATAATTATGCAAAATGAATTGCACAGCTTATATACATGTATGAATTGCAAAAAAATTAACAATAAAAAAGAATTCAAACCGTATCACTGACTATGCCTACCTTCAGGACCTTGGCAAGAGTCTGTCTCAATATCATCATCCACAATCGGAGCTACGCCATTCCCTGTATCGCGTTCTACTCCAAGCTTCTCTGCTACTTCTGTGTCTGCAGTCTGAGTAATTTCTTCCTCTTTGGTGTCCTTTGTGTCATTTTCTCCTCCGTTTTCCCGCCCTTCTTTGCTCTCCTGTTCCATATCCGAAAGAAATTACCACGTGTTCAAGGGGAATATCTTGATCTCTAGATGTGAAGAAGAAAGTTTACGTTTTGAGCTCATTTGACAAAGTACTAATTATTCATCTTTGGTGAAATTTGACTCCATTCAATAACATGTTTAAAGGCAAGCTACAAAGTTATCATAATTGGTATGCATTTAATCTGCAATCATTATAAAAAAAGTATAATATTTGAAAGAATGAATTGAGGTTTTGAGAGTTAGGTAGATATTCCCGAGAACTGAAAAGGAAAAGATTTCTATTCATCTTGGCCAGTGCGATTGCTCTAGAACCCGATTCAATTGTTGACTTCACAAAAACAATATTTTTCATATTCTGACAGGATATTGGATGAATGACTATAATGAGATTTTAAAAAAAAAAAAAAAAAAAAAAAACGGAAAATATCAATGAATTGATACCTCATCCATAATTATTTTTGCTAAAGTGCAAATCCCACACGCAAAAATATTTGAAATCATTTCGCTTTTCCATCCAAATTCCTGATCATGGGTACTTACAAAAAAAAAAAAAAATGACCCTTGAAATTACGATGGGTATGGATTTGAAGGCTTCAGCTGTACACCCCGGTATAATCCAAATCCAAGCGACTTCACCCCTCCCCTCTTTTTTTTCTCAATAGAGATAGAGAAATCAATAACTAAAATAAAATTCATTTAATTTTTCTACTCGGTTATTTTTGTATGCGTTTTCTCTACACTAAATTGTTTAACCATGTAGGCGATTACCGGCTATACAAAAACAGACCAACAACAACAACAAATGCAAAAAGTCAACGAGCCAAGTTACGTTAATTTTGTTTACATCCAAATAACAATATTAACATGGGATTGATAAAATTCTACCAGAAAGAGACTGACAACCCTTAAAAGATTACTTTTACATGCTCTCTGAAACTTGACTGAAACATTTGATTATATTTCAACCGGGAATACGTATGAAAATACTATCTCTCTGTATCGCCGCACCGGTTAATCGAAGAGCGGATACCATTGGACAACAAGCAGGGAAAAAAAGACTCCTAAAATTATATATAACTATTCATTATCATTTATTTGTCCATTTTACTGTGAAAAATGATATAATAATCTAACAATACGCAAAGACAACGTCTGTGCAGTTGTTTCATATTCATGACATAACGAGGAAGCTGAACTTGGTGAATATTAATAATATTATTATTACGTACCAGTACCAGTACACAAATAACAAGTGAATAATATAACGTTTCGGTGTGTCTACTCACCCGTTAACATTTGCACGGTCAGTTGAATGAATCTATTGACGACTATGGCCTCGTATAATAAACAGTAACAAAAGCTATTTACCTTTATTCGAGTCGGTGAATGCACACACCATGAACGTATTGTTAGAGGTCTATGCACATTCACAATCGAGGGATGGCTACGTGTGTGCGCGCGCTCTGCGCGAGAGTCAGATCGATGACCTAATGGGGGTTTCCCCTACGACGAAAGGTCACTGGGAATTCCCAAATACGCATAGCCGTCGTTCAGTCTGCAATGAGTGTTGTATTCCTCGTTGTTGTTGCGGTTTCGTGTTTCTAGTTTCCATTCTTCTTACTCAAGTATGTTTTCGTATACATGCAGGCTAATTATAGTATGATGAGGATATAGGGGGAGGGTGTTAGATAGGAATACGTAGACAAATTGTATGACCATGATATATATTCGTGTATAAATAAGCGTCATGTAAAACTTAAAATTGTATTTGACGACCGCTGCATCAATATAACTGACTTGAAAAGTTAATTTCCTATGAGCCTATTCGAACATTCAACCATTGATTTTAATATTTTGTACTTGAACTGCTTAACATGATGCTACTGCTTATAGTTGATAATGACAATTTGTGTTAAAAAAGATACAAACCAACGGGCTGTTTTAATGGAAGAACTTGGTATGAAATCGTGAAAATATTGAAGTCATGATACTCAATCATTAAATATTAGCAGTTTTACCAATACATAGCTATGAATCAATAAGATATAGGCATATGCCCTCTAATTGAAGTGTTTTTTTTAAAGGCCAACGGCTTTAATTTAAATTATCTAGGCTTTTTATAGAAAAAGCAATCATGTTTAATTAGTATTCTTCTAATAATTCTAATTCAGTTTACACATGAAGCTGCATGTACCCACGTTTTCCAAGTTTACTGCGGTCTAAAATTATGCCGATTAGCAGCGCCGTAGCCAGAGTTTGATGTTTGGGGGCACATACATGTAATCGATCGACGTCCTGTGGAGGGGTCCAAACAATTTCAACCGATCTTAGAAAAAATGAGGGGCACGTGCCCCCCCCCCCCCCCCGTGGCTACGTGCTTGCCGATTAGCACAAGTTACCATTTTGGGGCACTTTTTTCGTGTAGGCCTTCCTATGCCCTGATTGGATTTTGCCTGAGTGTGCCCCAGCCTCCTCTACTGTAGGTTGTACCACTTTGTGCCAGAAAGAGCTAGATTCATGGTTTTAAAGTTTTTAAAGTTTTTTCTGGATTTATATATTCATTATCTCAAACTCATTTTCTGTCAACGATGTGGTGATACACATTAAAGAACAAACAAAAAAACAGATTCAATTGTAGGATTAACGTATTATTTTTCTTTCGATTTAGACTTGATGCATAAATTAGGAAGTGGTTATCATAAGCTTTGTTAGGTCTATGATATTAGTTTAGTTGAACCCGAAAATTGAAAGTAAAATGGCAACGAGGGTCTGAAGAAAGACTGATGTTCTTTAGTACGTCTGACGTATCTCGTCCCTGATGGTTAAACTCGCTCACGCGCGCGCGCTACACGGGTTTATCAACATTGAATGCATATTAAAGTGTCATTCCGTTCAGACGAGCCCTCGGATAGAACCATTGGGTCTACTTGCTTCAACTTGCTGAAGACTGTGAGTAAAACTACATTTTTAATCAATAATCACAATGCATTGTAGCGCTGTATATATCTGCCAGCCTATATCTTTGTAGAAATTCATTTAGCCTAAATACGAATAGTTTTGAAAATGATTATTGTTATAACGTAGTTTGTTTACCTCATGACGTCATGACTTGCTGACGACTGTGAGTATAACTACATTCTTAATTAATAACTACAATGCATTGTAGAGCTATATATATATATATCTGCCAGCCTATATCTTTGTAGAAATTCATGTAGTCTAAATACAAATATTTTTCAAAATGATTAACGTAGTTTGTTTACCTCATGACGTCATGATGGCGTCACGATGACTGGGCATAGTGCACTGGCGGGATAGGGGCGTTCAAGTTTGATAGGCCTTATATTCTCTATATGCTGCAATTAACACCTTTTGACCGTCATGAGCAATGTCAGATTCCAAAGAAGAAAAGTTCCATTCATTGTAATACCTACTTTTCTGTTAATAGGCTTTAAAATGTTGTAATGACGTAAAAACAAAGTATAGGTCCTATATTATCCATTGTGTGTAGCCTTGTCTGAGTTGTTCCTGTGAATAACAGCGAATAATCACAAACAAAACCTTTTGTTTAATGTAATTTAATAAGGTCACGGAGTTTCCTAAAGTGAGGGACTATACTTAACACCCCCTCCCCCTTTCCCCAACGCCCTATGCAAAAGCATAGTGGCTAGCTTTTTTCGTTTGGAGGGGAGCGGGCGAGAGGCAATCAAAACCAATAAGCCGGAATAAATATTTCCTTTATGTGGGCAATCTTTCTCCCTTTTGGTTATGGGAATTCCTCACTCCAAAACATTTTATGTGTGACAATGGCCTATACATAGATCGTAATTCCGCAATGAAATAAAAATGAATTAGTCTAAAATGTGAATTAACATATTGAAATTCAAAAGTTTAATTAAATTATAATTAAAATTTGAATTAAATTCAAATCTAATTCTTAAAGCCATTTTCTGTAATCTGATTGAGATCTTTATCCTTTCCCCGTGTTCTTCACCTTATAAAGGCCTGCACACGTGCGCGGGGAGGGGGGGGGGTATCCATGTGTCGACCCCGCTCTCTTTTAGAGACATCACTGACGCATAAGTTGATTATGTCTGAGATTTGTAATTTATCATTCTGGCATTTTATGTCAATTTTCTGACAATAACAGAGAATTTTTTTTTAAATGTAGCCACTTTTGTCCTCTGAGTATTGAGATTTGTCTTAACTCTCTCTTTTCCTCCTCGTCAACAAAATTGTGCAACACGTTGCAGTGAAGATCTCTGTTAAATTGCACGAGTGTTGAAGAGTATGGTGGCCCTGAAGGGACATCGCGAATAGACTAAATCGTGAAAAATATGCGATAAAATTCACGATATCGTCAATTTTATCGCATATTTTTCACGAAGAAATTCACGAAATTGACGATATCGTGAACTTTATCGTGAACTTTTCACGATGAAATTGACGATATCGTGAATTTTATCGTGAAAAGTTCACGATATAAAGTTCACGATATCGTCAATTTTATCGTGTACTCTATCGTGTACTCTATCGTGTACTCTCCTGACGGGCGCTTCGTAAACAAAACCAGCCCTAGCTGGGGGAGACAGAGAGAAGGAAAAAAGGGAAAGGGAAAGAGAAGATAAAAGGAAAGAAAGAATAATAAGAAGAAAAGAGGGAAACGGGGGGGGGGGGGCGAAGGGCTCTTGCCTCCTCCTCACTCCCCCCCCCCCCCCCCCTCCCCGCCAAAAAATAAATCAGAGAGAGAGAGAGAAGGGAAAGGGAAAGGGAAAGAGAAGATAAAAGGAAAGAAAGAAGAGGAAGAAGAAGAAAAGAGGAAAACGGGGGAAGGGCGAAGGACTCTTGCCCCCCCTCCCCCCCTCCCCCCTCCCCCCCCCCCCCGCCAAAAAATAAATCAGAGAGAGAGAGAGAAGGGAAAGGGAAAGGGAAAGAGAAGATAAAAGGAAAGAAAGAAGAGGAAGAAGAAGAAAAGAGGGAAACGGGGGCAAAGGGCTTTTGCCTCGTCCCCCCGCCCCCCGCCAAAAAATAAATAAGAGAGAGAGAGAGAAGGAAAGGGAAAGAGAAGAAAGAAAGAGAAAAACGAAAAAGAGGGAGAATAGGAAAGAAAGGAAAAGAAAGAAAAGAAAGGAGGCAAGAGCCCTTCGCCCCTGTTTCCCTCTTTTCTTATTCTTTTTCCTCTTCTTTCTTTCCTTTTATATTTTCTTTCCCTCTCCCTTCTCTTTCCCTTTATGGCGGGAGGGGGGAGGGGGAGGTAAGAGCCTTTCGCCCTTCCCCCGTTTCCCTCTTTCCGTCTTCTTCTTCTTTCTTTCCTTTTATATTTTCTTTCCCTTTCCCTTTCCCTTCTCTCTCTCTCTCTCTCTCCTATTTATTTGTTGGCGCGGGAGGGGGGGGGAGGAGGCAAGAGCCCCTCTTTTCTTCTTATTCTTCTTCCTTTCCTTTTTTATTCTCTTTCCCTTTCCCTTCTCTCTCTCTCTCTCTCTCTCTTATTTATTTTTTGGGCGGGGGATGCAAGAGCCCTTCGCCCCCGTTTCCCTCTTTTCTTCTTCTTCTTCCTCTTCTTTCTTTCCTTTTATCTTCTCTTTCCCTTTCCCTTTCCCTTCTCTCTCTATCTCTTATTTATTTTTTTGGCGGGGGGTGGGGAGGGAGGAGGCAAGAGCCCTTCGCCCTTCCCCCGTTTCCCTCTTTCCTTCTTATTCCTCTTCTTTCTTTCCTTTTATATTTTCTTTCCCTTTCCCTTCTCTCTCTTATTTATTTTTGGCGGGGGGGGGGGAGGAGGCAAGAGACCTTCGCCCTTCCCCTGTTTCCCTCTTATTCCTCTCCTTTCTTTCCCTTTCCCTTCTCTCTCTCTCTCTCTCTCTTATTTATTTTTTTGGCGGGGGGGGGAGGTAAGAGTCCTTCGCCCTTCCCCCGTTTCCCTCTTTCCTTCTTCCTCTTCTTTCTTTCCTTTTATATTTTCTTTCCCTTTCCCTTTCCCTTCTCTCTCTCCTTATTTATTTTTTGGCGGGGAGGGGGGGGGGGAGTGAGGAGGAGGCAAGAGCCCTTCGCCCCCCCCCCGTTTCCCTCTTTTCTTCTTATTATTCTTTCTTTCCTTTTATCTTCTCTTTCCCTTTCCCTTTTTTCCTTCTCTCTGTCTCCCCCAGCTAGGGCTGGTTTTGTTTACGAAGCGCCCGTCAGGAGAGTACACGATAGAGTACACGATAAAATTGACGATATCGTGAACTTTATATCGTGAACTTTTCACGATAAAATTCACGATATCGTCAATTTCATCGTGAAAAGTTCACGATAAAGTTTACGATATCGTCAATTTCGTGAATTTCTTCGTGAAAAATATGCGATAAAATTGACGATATCGTGAATTTTATCGCATATTTTTCACGATTTAGTCTATTCGCGATGTCCCTTCAGGGCCACCATAGAAGAGAGAGAGAGAGAGAGAGAGCACGAAAGGAAGGGGGAAAACAGAACGTAACTATGAAAAATAAAATGGTAATACATGTACGATCTTATTCGAAACCACCCGGACCCCTCGTAATTCATTCACTCTATATTATATATGCCCCTTCCCCCCCCCCACAATAAGACACACGCGCAACAGCACTGGCTTCAGTAAGTGAAGACCACTTCTTTTACTCTTTCTCAAATAAAGACTGACAGTGAATCATTTACTCCTGTAAGCCTACATGTAGCTCCAGATTTATAAAAAACACTTTTCCCTCTTTGGTGTATTTGGTACATTTCAGATGCCGTGGACACTTCCAACATTTAAAGACACCACAAGTAGAATATCAAAAAAATGTAGGGATAGGTTTAAATCTTGCGACGACAAAACCTACGGAGGTGTTGCCAAGAAAGAAGTGCCTGTGGACACTCGCTCCTCTGAAGAATACTTCGACGCAGAAGATGAACTGCAACCAACGGATTTGAAGACCCTCGACAGAGGCCAGTCAGAAGAGAAGAGGACCAATACCAATCAAATATATCCTCAAGACAAAGTCAAAGATAACCATCAAGTTCAACATGATACGAAAGATCAAACGGTCAAGAATTCGCAAAAGGATGACACAAGCAAGCACATATGGGACAATACGGGACAGCAACCACCAAGGACAAAGTACAATCTCTATCAAGTAAGGAAGCCGACAGTTTTCACATTTCGAGCCATCGATTTATTATTTTGTTTAAAGACAAAAAAATAAAAAAATATATATGAACGAAATATATTGGCCTATATATCACCCAGTTTTTTCTTATTTGGCAAACATCTCATGACTTGCATTTAGGCCTAATATGCTACGTTGCTTGGTGCCTTTTCCATTTAGTGCCGTTACTTCTAAATACATACCGTTATCTTACAAACAAAATATTTCTTCACCAATTGCAGATGATATTGTATAAGCGAAATTCTACCCAATCAAAGAAAATAATTATGATACATTTTAACCCACTCAGTACCAGGCCGGTAAATGGAGAGACGGTTATTGTATAAATGGGATCTTTAATTTCCGCAAGTTGCACAAAACTTCCTTCGATTTTTATTTGACACGGTCTAGCATGCTACAAGAGCTTGGAAAAGACATCGCTCACACTCTTGTGACTCGAAACCAGACAACTGCAAGACAAACATTGCAGGTGAGCCAAGGACTTCACCTGTAAGGTACATGTCGTCTGTCGTTCTAAACGACTGGAATCCAAGTCACATGTCAAAGGGTGTGTATCAGCAACAACAGAGTTCGGAGCCTCATAATCGTTCGAAGGAGGGTAAGAAAGTTTTATGCAAAAACACAATGCATGCATATTACTGGTGTGTCTAAAAAAAAAAAAAAACTGGTGGTAGAACACGAATAATGGTCGTTCCTAAACATCGTAACATGCATTAAAAAACCCCAATTCAAGGCGATGACGTAAATTATGACTGTCTAAACCCATTTTATTTATTTTGTTCAACCCCAGAGCACCCCATACATGTTAGTATAAACACGGCTTATGAGATCTAAAAGTACTAAAAAACAAACAAAAGAAACAAAAGATACATGACAATACATACTTCCCCTCTCCACCTAATTGCTAATACTGTGTACTAAAGTTCCGTTTCATTATATTTTGATAGACTGGAAGCTAATTAATATAGCACAACAAAAATAAGTACAACAAACACATGTTTTTTGATGATTGCAAATGATCAAGCGTTATGAAAGCTTCAAAAAACAAAAAACAGAATTGAAATCGGTCAATGCGTTTTGATTTTATACGGTCAAATATGGTCAAATTGGGAAAAATGGCAAAATTCGACAAAGTTGACAACTTAATTCATCACTTTCTTGGACACAAATAATAAAATTAAATTATCAGACACTAAAATATCATCTTTGTGGTAAAAAAATACAAAAAAGAAAATTCATATATCTATTACCGTTTTGAAAACAGAAGCAAACAAAATAAGTAATTTTTGCCATTTTTGCGAATCTGCAGATATGAACAAGTTGTGAAAATAACTAAGTCCGTCTAATTAATATGCGCATATATAATCAAATCAAAACCGAACATGATACATCAATGAAACCTATGTATATCAAACAGGTTTGAAAGAAAAAAAAAAATTGAAGAAAAAAAAAATTATGAATATTCATCAAATATGCAAATTAGGTCATTTCAGCTAATTATATATATAGGAAAGTCAAACTGTTAATTTTGTTGGCATTTTTTTAAATCATATATTTATAGATCATATTTACACCAAATATTAACATTAAATTCCAAATATTTTTGCAATGCCAATAAAAATATGGCGATGGAAATTACTTGGATCACCGTTACAGCTATTTCCTCACATGTTTCACAAATTATTCAGAAAAACCGAACAAATGATAAGAATCTGCAGACTTTAAGCTACGTCACAGTATAGCTTCTTTTTTTAAATGTCAGATTTGAGGATTTATGACGATTTTCCGAGAAACCATTCAATTCAACAGGCCATAACATTCCACAGGGACTGAATTTTAGAGAAAAAGACAAATAAACAAATTGATTCAATGAGTGAAACATATGAGGATATTACATTTTTGTAGGGAAGTTTTATACATTGAAGTGCATTTTCACCACGCAGAATAACAGTCAACGGGCGATCAGCGGGCCATGTCACACATGGCTGAAAAGACAATATTCTAATTAATAATTTAACATATTTCCCACATGCCTATAACAATGAAACTACACAGAATTGTAGTTGAAGGTATGCTTGAAAGGTATGTGAAATAAAAAAATAAAAATATTGTTCAGTTTTTTAAAAATAAATTTACGAAAATTGCTATTTCTACCAACTGACTGCTGTTGTGTGTTTGTGTATGTGCATGGGGCAGACTGTGTGCACAGGCAGTGTGATCACCCTATAGCACTAGCCAATTTGACCTAAACATATTTTTGATAACGGACAAAAAGGACAGTGTCTCGGTTGCTTGCATTTTCTTAAATTATAGATTCGACAAGTTTGGCGCCATTACCAAGAGCTGGAGACCCTCCAACCATTGAGATTAATCCAGAACAACCTGCAACAACAGATGAAGAAAGCGGCAAAGCGTGCCAGGAAGAAAATCAACATTCAGGCAAGTCATCTGGATGGTTGGGTTGGTTGGGCCACATTGGATGTTGGTTGGGGAACTGGTTTGTTTGGTTTACTTTATTCCGCTGGTTACCATGGTTGCCAACACGCACGCCCAGAATCTATCTCTGTACCTCCCGGGGCATCGTGAGCATTCGTGGGCTCAAAGAGAAGTTACAGGCGCTGTCGGACCCTTCCAGGTGCGTCGTTCAAGACCTGGAGCTGCCTTACAACCGCCTAGAACAATTCAAGTTTCCCTCGGAGGTTAACAGCACCGATGCTATGATTCTCTGCCATTCGATCCGGAACAGAGGGTTCAGCATCACCGATGTCCAAGATTCAATCTATGACGAGTTCCTGAAGTCCTGCAATGAGGTCTTTGGTAAGAGACTGAAATGTAAGCGAGTTATCGGTGGATGGCTTTATGATGTAATTTAATGCTAATTAATAGATTTAAATTATTCTTTTGAATTTGGTAGAGAACCTTTTCAGCATGGAGGGGCAAACGGTTTAGTCTTTGGAAAATTCATACTATCCTTTATTATTGTTTAAGTGTTAAATCACTTCCAATATGTGTAGATACACCCTTATTATATCATTGTTTTGGTGCGTTATAAGTTCCCGCAACGAAAGCACAAAACCTTCTAATAATTTTGTCCTGCGTAACGCTATGTATAAACACTTTAATGAGCAGAGGGTCATTCCTTCTTTATTTTTGTAGCTTCTTCTTCTTTTCCTTCTGCTTTTCTTCTTCTTCAGGTAGAGATCACATGGTCGTTGTCGTACACGATTTCAACTTCAATAAAGAAACTCTGAAGGGCCAAATGGAGACATTTCAATCCATACAGCCGGCGACGTTCAAGATGGCCGGCCTCGTTGTTCTTGCAGGAAAGCTTGATGATACCGAGGTGCAACTCTGTCAAGACGATTTAGCACAGCTAGAAAAGTTCGTGAAGAAATTTTGCTAACGTCTGCTCAAATTAGAGAGAGAGAAAAAAAAAACCTGTCGCTTCGAAATGTTTAAGAAAAATTAACAAAAAACATTTAATGGTGCTATGGACTTTATAGCTTATACAATAGCGCACTGGATTTTATTTTTATTGGAATGAGAGGGGACAGGGAAATATTGTGCCAAGAGAGAAGTACCTTTATTTTCAATATTTGAAAATGGAGTTTATAAATACTGTCGACAAGATATGAAATGGGTGTATGGAGAAAAAAAAATGGATATTAAAATGTTGAGCTTTCATTTTCATCACTTGCATCAAAGAAAAGAAAACAAGAAAAAAACTTGTTATTATACCAAATTGCGTGTGCATGCGTGTGTGTGTGTGTGTGTGTGTGTATGTGTGTCATAGGCCCGGGTGGAGCTATTTTGAGAAGCAGAAAAAAAGGATAACTGGAGTTTAGTGGATGTAAAAGAGTATGATATTTTAATGCAGTTTAACAGTACTATGAAGCTCCTCAGAGATGTATTATCGAGGAAGGTTTATGAATATTTTATAGAGAAGTTACACAATTTATTTGTCTTGAAGATTCATGATGGACGGGAATTTTCAGATTTTTCAAATGAGGTATGTAGGAAGATATTTAGTAGGCCTAGGAAAGTTACTCTTGTTAATTACAGACTAAGAGAAAATCAGTATAAACTGCTTCATGGAGCAATAATTATACTAGAGAACATTTATTCAGATTCGGCTTTGTTGTATAACTAGTCTTGTGCTCATTTGTAAGCAAAAGTTAGAAACATATTTACACTTGTTCTGGGAGTGTGTACATGTTCAAAGATTATGGCAAAGTGGTGGGTAGTAGTGTGTTTGGTTGGATGGGGTTATTTGTTTTATGGTACAATTGTACAATCTATGTAATGAAAATGTTTTGAATTACGTCAAGGAAAAACAACTGTATATTATTTCTAAAATTAATTTGTATTGTTTAGAATCAATAACAAAAAACTATTGAGAAAAAAGGATGCGTCAGTGCATTGCGCGGTCATCGACGCGGTATGCAAGTTTGACGTTGAACACAAAGTGAATATACTCTGTTGCCCATAAAGTTGGAATACTTTTTTTCTTACCTCTAATGATATGATATTATTTATTATGCATAGAAAAGGTTTATATCTTCTCAAAACTGTATTGATCCCTCTGTATGTCTCTTTAGATTGATCACTAAAGTTATGAGATGATATCTACGTTGTCTATCAACAATCATGTTATCACAATCATTTTATGCATAAGGGTACACAGTTAAAATTTTTGTGAACAAGTTGTTTAAAAGTTTAAACAACTCTTGATTAACGGGTGACCTGATCTAAGAGTTGTTTAAAATGTTAAGCAACTCGAGTTGTTTAAAGTTTAAACACTTAGTTGATCAACATTTTGAACAACTTGTTTAAAATCACAATTTAAACAACCGGTGTTGTTTAAAGACGGTTGTTTAAAACGGAGCTGTTGTTCAGTGGAGGTTGTTTACACCAACTGGGTTGTTTAAAGAAAGTTGTTTAAAACGGAGCTGTTGTTCAGTGGGGGTTGTTTACACCAACTGGGTTGTTTAAAGAAAGTTGTTTAAAAAGGAGCTGTTGTTCAGTGGGGGTTGTTTACACCAACCGGGTTGCTTAAAGAAAGTTGTTTAAAATGGAGCTGTTGTTCAGTTGGGGTTGTTTAAACCAACTGGGTTGTTTAAAGAAAGTTGTTTAAAAAGGAGCTGTTGTTCAGTGGGGGTTGTTTACAACAAAAGGGTTGTATAATGGGGTATAATTTGGGTTTGATACTCTGAATAAGTGCACCACTACTTCTGGGTCTCTATATAGGTATATGAAGACTAGGGTAATTCTGCAATTCATGAATTAGCGCCAAAACAGTGCCCATTTTGCATGAGCGCGCATGCACGCACGTATAAACTGCATATATTATAGGGATGCATGCAATCTCTATGGCAAGGAATTTAGCACACGTTATAACCGAGTGCGCGATCAGTGCTGCACTGCATGACGCGACGATTTTAAGTCTACCTATATTCTGACATTTGCGTACAGATACCGAAAATTTTAACTGTGAACTTACGCTATAAGTTAAAAACTTCAAAGTGGTTAATAGAAAAGTGATTTCAATTAAGCCATTGAATCCCCAGTCACTTAGAAGCGCGTCGGTAGCTTGGTCGGCCATGATGTGTTGTGGGTTGGAAAGTAATAACTATTAAGCTAAATAAATGTAAGTATAGAGACAAACAAAATGGAGCCTGCAGAAACACGTGTGGTTGCTTTGGTAGTTTAATCCAGACTCAATGTCCATGTGCTTTTACATATGTATCAATCTGTGTAGTCAACAAAAGACCCTTGCATACACTTGCATTGTGTGTATGCATCTAATATGAATAACAATGAGCTGTGCCTTAACAGCTGCACTGCATTTCTAAGTGGCATGTCAATTTCAATTGCATGTTAGTTTCAAGGAACCTGTTTCTAAACATAACAATGTGAAATAAAGCCTTTAGCCAACACGCACTTAACTGGCACGAGACACATGACGTCATATGTAAACAACACTGTCTAAAAGCTCTCGTATAGTAAATATAGCAGTCATTAAATTTTAAACAACGAATGTTTAAGAAAATTACTTCTGTTTCGAGCAACATTGTTTACAATTTGATCAACTGTTGTTTAAGATAGTGTACAACTGTAAGTGAACATCACTTTTTTAAACAGCGTTTTTACTGTGTAACAGTGTAAAATGAACACTGCCAACATGGCATTGAATAACTGGCTCATCCATTAATTGCCCCCATAGGCTTGATTAGGGCAGGTAGTACCACAGTCGAAATGGCACTAATTCAACGGTTATTAGTTTGCGAGTTCGCGTATGCAACAAATAATAATGATAATAAATACTTAAAAAGCGCACTTATCTAAAAACTTACTCAAGGCGCTATACAAAACAAAATACACAAATCTCTCTCCAGAATTTAACAACATACTCATTTGTAACTCTGAGTAAATAAAACCTGTTTAACATGTTTCTGAAAGGTTTCTAGGCATTGAATGTTTCGAATGTCACTTGGCAGCTTGTGTAGGGATTCAGAGCCATAACCCACTATGAATATTCTCCTTTCTGTAACATGCGAATTAGAGTCTACCCTGATATTAAGTTGGTTTTAATAACAAGCAATATACATAAGAGAAACAGTTTAGTGAAAGTATGAGCAAACTCAAATTGAAAATATTAAGATTATGAATTTTTGAAGTTGTAATCAATGAAGCACGAATTGGAAACAGTGTGACGTATCTTGTAAGTATCTCAGTTGCTCTGTACATGAAATGTAATGAAGATTAGTTTTTCTTACTTATTGATGAAGTAATAAGTTGGTTTCATAATTATAAACGCCGTTTAAAGGCACAGTAATTGTATCTAGGGTGCGTGTATATTAGACAGTATTCGTTACAGACAATCGAAATTTATTGATTTTGATTACATGGGAGGGGACCTCCTAAGATGCGTCACAAAGTTGCCAATTCGTCTTTGGTCGATTGCAACTTCAAGAATCCATAACTTTCTTATTTTTAATCGGATTTTGTTCTAGGTTTCACTTACCTATTTCTCTCATTTTTCTTCTTCTATTAAAACCAGCTCAGTATCAGGGTGGACAAGTTACACGACCTCCTCATTAGGTATTTTAAACAACATGCTGGTGAGCACCCACCATTCACATCTGCGTGTATTGAGTATCCATTTTAGAATTATTGAATGGAACCAACGATTGTCACAGGCTTACTTAGGACTACATATCTAGCTAGCATGGGTGTTATACCATAAAGACATAGTGGGCCTATCCTATTAATTACATATGCGTAGAATACCAAAAGAAATCGGATACATGTAACCTATATCTGATGAATAGTTATTATATCATGTTGATTGTAGAGGGTACTACGTTGTATTAAAAGATCATGTATATTGTTATATTTCCATGTACACTGCCGTATATTTTCGATATCATTGAAAATGTCATCATTTCATATTATGTATATTATGATTATAATCATATAGATTGCATGTATACACCTACAAAATACCGATAAATTGACACTAGAACTGTAAGTCCTCTTGACTTGTATACACAAAAGACTAACAATTAAACAAAAGTTCACAAGGGAAAGGCAACGTCTACCTCGAATCAATATGAATCACTTAGTGAGGATTCTTTATTTCTCTGAGGTCTAATTATCTTATTAAATCCAAACGATTAAAGAAGGAGGTCACTGGTGATGTGTGAATATTCTTTCCTGTATTGTATAAATTGATGACAACCGTAATTTTTTTGCGATCGTGACTATTGTGGAACACCAACCCAGATAGCCCTGTGCGTCAACGATTAGAATGTCAAATATGACAATGACATATTACGTAATCCGACCATGATTTCTTTTGGACATACAATATGGTATTGACATTACCCTTGAGTTGATATTTCGGAATAGATGCGATCGTGTTGCATAGTCGTAAAATTATGCATGGTTCTTAAACGTACTATGTCCCATTTCAGGCCAAACAAATGAAAAGGTTAACTCCCAACGGCATTTGAAAGATAACTCCAATTTAGAACTCCCCCTCCCAAAAAAAAGGGGGGGGGGGCTTGAAAATGTCTTTAAGTGGGAAAATAACGACTATTAGTTGTCAAATCGACTTAAGAGCTATAGAGCCAGTAAGTAAAAGTCTGATATTTAGACCATTATACCGAATGGTCGTACGTTTTGTGCTGCACAAAGATTCATTCAGTTTAATTTTGGCGATTACAAGAAGTGGGTTATTGACGTAGACAAATGCTCATGTACCCTTTACAGCTCATTTTATGTATGTTATTACTAAAGAAGAAAAAAGCCAGTGATCAGTCACTCAATAGTGTCTGACGATGAAGTCTAGCAAGTAAACGGGTTTCCTTGCATACTTTGAATATTAGGACACTGCTAACGTTTAAATTTCACAGATAGGGCATACATGACATATTCATAACTCCAGCAAAGTTCTATAGAATTTGATGTTGGCTGCAAAAGGGACATAGTATCTTAAAGTCATGTTCTATTTGCAAACCGCCGTATGTGCCAATTTCTATGAGTCAATGTGGAAACTGTAAGAATTGTATGTAGTTAAACAATTGTTCAATGTTACTTTGTTATTTGAAAATGTAGAGCATTTTAAGTGAATAAGCAGGTAATTTCGTCATCAAGTTATGCTCTTTGATTTAAATACCGTCTTTCTTTATCT